GTCTGCAGTGCCACTCCAGTGAACATATTAAAACAGGGTTAATTATTAGCTCTTGAGGTTGTAGGAGTGTTACAGGAACTTAGAAGGGAACAAAAGATATATCTGTGTTATAGATTCTGTAAGACTGGACTGACTGACAAACAAGAGCTTCCTGACTGCGCAGAGCTGGAATGTTGCAGACAGAAACAAATTATCCAAGGCTACATTCATCACCACTGGTCACTCAGGCGCATCTGACATAACACTCTTATGACTATCATGTGGGATATAGTAACTTAGTCGACTTTATCTCCCATCCTCCCAGAAGCCAAATATGTCATCAGATAGTACCTGGAAGCTGCAATAGAGACTTCCTGGCTTTGCTGTAGCTTGCCTACCTGGTGTTTCTACCACTATGTTGAAAGTGTCTTGATTTATGATTGGCTTTCATTCTCTAAGTATAAAAAGGTCATGAACTTGTTGCCATATTGGAACATGCTGCTCAGATAACCCGAGTCTGTGTCGACAGGCCATCATCTCTTAATTTGGCTCCAGAATGAATTCTCTTTTCTCAAAAGAAAATTTCTTCAGAAAACCACAGTGGGAGCTATGTGTTTGTACCAGCAAGCTTCTTTATGTGTCTCACAGTTTGGTCCAGGACTACCGGCCTTTTCGCCATTCAACAGGATAGAATCCATATCCCAGACCCCAGAATCAGGGATCTTATTTTTGTCTTTTCTCTTTGTTGAGAGCGGGATGAGGCCTGCTCTAAGTTACTACATGTTTGTGTTTCAGGCTATGCTTTATTCTGAAAGACTCCCTTTTACAAGCAGCTTTTGATTACATTTTAAAGGTGAAGGACCATTGCTCCAGGGTGAGCCTGTAAACACCACCATCCCTTCTGGCCCACCCATGGGGCACAGACTGATACATGACCTATCCCTAGGAGTAGAAAGGGAACTACCTTATAAATGTGTTGGGATAAACAGAGACTGCAGGCACATGGATGCATTAAAACCACACCAGAGAAACCAAGTAACTTACCAGACACACCAGACCTCGGAAAAGGTGGGATTCCCTCACTTGGACCTCCATCTAGCACCAGGATGGCAATGGGCCCATCTTGACTTGTCATCTGATACCTGGTTGGTGATACCTGGTTTGTGTGAGAAAGCATGCGTACGTGCATGCGTGTGAAAGACTAATAGACTGGGAACCGCCAGCTGATCCTGAAACCTCAGCTCCATTCCCTGCTGTTGATTTAGCTTCCTCAGTGGGTGTCAGCATCTACCTGTTCATCCATTTGGGCATACACCTTGTTGACCCAGTTCTGACCTTCCTTCTGGTTTATTTTCCTTTGATTTATTTTCTTTCTAAAAACAGTTTTGGGGTATTAGGGGCTTGGCCTCAGGTTTTCCTCTATGCTAGGCAAGTGCTTATCCCTAAGCTATGTCCACAGATGAATTTTTCCATTAATTATTCCCTCAAAGTGAGGAACTGCTAATTCTTCAGATTTGACCTTAAAAAAAAAAACAACTCTCTAGGACACACACAGAGAAAGAGAGAGAGAGAGAGAGAGAGAGAGAGTGGGAGCGGGAGAGGAGGGGGGGGGAGAGAGAGATATCCCTGTCTAAATGGATCACCCCCATTATTCAAAGGACGTAGGTGACCACTAGGTTCTACCAACACAAAGCTAAGGTGTTATTAGGTAACATCAGGTCCACAGCAGAGGTTTCCTCACTTCTGAAACCTGCCTACTTGGTGTTTACAATATATTCAAAGTGTTCAGATTTATGACTTTTTTGTTCTGTCTCTATAAAAACTTCATGAAACTGTTGCCATATTAGAACACAGAATTTGGAGTAACCTAAATCTGTGTTCCTTTGCCATGGTTACTCTTCTTTGCTTCCAGAATAAATGATCTCATTCCCTTTGAGATGAGAGCCGTTTCTTATATAAATAACCACAACAGTACCAATTCTATCTGCACATAAACTTATAGCTCATCTAGACCTCATCAGTGCAATTCAGTGAAGAGTATAGTCACTGTTGAGCTTGCATTCACTGTTCACATGTAATACTTGTGTTTTTCTGGGGGCTATCCATGACTGCTAGATACCCTTGGCTGAGGTGGTGGGGAATTCCATTTTCTAGTCCTGTGAAACAATTACACGAGTTTGGGAAGATGAGTACCTAGGCTTCTTGCTTCAGGACAGATGCTCCTAATTTATAGAAAATGAAACCATGTAATATAGAAACTGTGTATAAATAATCTTTTTAAGTTTATTTGCCTTATATATATATGACTTTTTTGCCTGCTTGCATGTATGTATGTGTATCATGTGCACTGTTAGATCCCTTGGAACCAGGGTTATGAATAGTCGTGAACCACCTTTATGGGTGCTGGGAATTGAACCCAGGTCCTCTGCTAGAACAAATGCTCTTAACCACTGAGCCATTTCTCCAGCCCCTAAATAATCTGTTGTTGAGATCAGGCTGTGCCCTAGTCTCAGTCACTCCAGATTGTTAAAAGCAGTGATTTTTCAAGCCATGCATTGCCCCAGGAGACTCCATTTTACAAGTGCTTTTGACACCATTTTGAAGATGGAAGATAACTGCAGTTGGGTGGACACATGAACGGCCATCAACTATCCTGAACCACACACATGGCAGACTGATGAATGCCATTCCTGGGAAAGGAGTTCAGCCTATGCATTTATTGGAGTGAATGGAGGCTTCTGAGGGCACATGGGGGTGTTAAAACTGTTACCAGGAATCCGTGACCAAGAACTTTATTAACCATGCCAGACTAAGGAAATGGAGCAACTCTCACCTGAGCCTCATAAAGAGCCAAACACCTATATCACTGTGGTGATAGCTCTGTTCTGTCACTTGACAGATAGGCAGAGAACTGTTCTGGGGGCTTCAGGTTGTCTCCATCCCTGCTGTTGAAACAGTGTGCTAAATTGCTGACTGCTGTCCTGTTTGCTTATCTGGACCTGGTGTCCGTCTGTCTGCCCGTCCCTTCATCTGGACCCACTCCTGTTCTTTTGCCTTTGCAGCTGGACTCAGCTTTGCTTTCAAACCTGTGCTCTCCTGTGGCCTGACTCGCTGCTGCTGCTGTAGCTTTTTTCATGCTCCACTTTCTTCATTGTCTTAACTTTGGCTTTTTGGACCTTCTTTGCCTTTATTTAAAGCCATTCTGCAATATCTCTGTTCAATATAGAGATATATTTACTGCGTAATAGTTAATGTATGATGTGAGAATGTTCAATAAAATAAATAGCATTGGCTTGTTTCTGAATGGGGAAGATTCATAATTACCCTTCAGAAGTGAGTTTTTTTTTTTTTTTTTTTAGAAGACAAGACTTTAAGACCATGATCTGACCTTCAGCTGGGAAAGCAATCAAAAAGAAACAATGTGTCAAAACCAGCGACCGAGCCTTAAAGAGAAAGGCTACGCTTTAAAACCTGGAGAGGCACTTCATTCACCAAGAGTCAGCATAGGAAGGCAGAGATAGATAGCCATGAAAGAAATGCCAAGTGATGTGGGGGAGTCAGTCTTCAGAGAAATCCCATGAACAAACCTGGCTTCTGTAAATTTTCAGAGCTGGGAGTTTTATACCATGTGATTTAGTTTCGGATAGCAAACATGACAAAAAGAATGGGGAAACCAAGTATAGAGCTGTTATCTGCAGCATAGACGGCTTCCTTAACGCTACCACAGACAGTTTGAGGTAAGGGTGGGATGATTTCTTCAGTCTTTTACATTTGATTTCTGAGAACGATCTCTGTTTTCAAAGGGTAATGGATCCAGGATAGCTGGGGTATTTGTGCAAATTGCTGTCAATGAAACTGCCATGCTTTCTCAATTTATTATTCTTCAATAAATGTGACCCCAAGGAAAGACCAACAGTGTTCATCTGTTTCTGACACTGCACTTCCCACACCTCTAGTGACACTTTGTGTTTTCAAAACAAAGACAGCTGGGAAATGAAATATGAAAGAAATATGGCATGCAGAGTCTGAGTTCCTGTTACAGGAGCAAGGAAGGATGTGCTGTGGATTGAGAATAACTTATCTGGCACACATTCATAATTCATGCAAAATTTTATTAACTCATATACAATTTTGGTTTTATGCTTCTAATAGAAGTTCTAAAAGTAGTCTTTTATTTCTTCTAACAGTAGTTTTAAACCCTTGCTTTTTTCTTTTCCAGATCCTATGAGAGCTGGCAAAATAGGTCATTTCATTATTAAGAAAAACAATTTTTGAAGACAAGGTTTCACACATCCCATACTGGCCATGGACTATGTAGCCTGGAATAACTCTGGCTTTTGACCCTCCTGTGTGCTGGGACTACAGGCATGCACCACTATGCTTAGTTCTGGGTGGTGTTGAGAATTGAACACAGGGCTTTGTGAGGTATAGGCAAACACTGTGCGAGCTCCAATATAGATAATATTTACCAATACAGGTAAATAGCAAATCTAACCAACAAGTATTTGAATATCCACAAAGGGTATTACAACAAGCCTTGAGATTATGGTACTATTTATTGCATTGAGTAATGCACTAAAAGCACAAAGACGAAAAGACAATGCATGTGTTCTCATGGAAAACAGACTGCCTCAAAAACAGTATTATGTTTCTAATAATCTTAGCTCACATTAATAGTGTGGTATTATTAGCTATCAAATATTAATGATTCTATTATTCTGCTATAGAATATAAGGAAGACAGATTATCTGCAACCTTCTTACAGCTAATTTTAAAATCAAATTATGAGCAAAACATGAACCAAACTTTAAGGATTTAAAATACAAATAACTCATTTGAGTAATGGGATCCCTCTGAAATAGACTGATTGGGCTTCCTTGTCTAGGTTAGAGACTAATGCTTTACTTCATAATCTTTACTTCTTGTACTCAATTAAAAAAAGTAAAATTATAATCTATTGGGCAAACTGATTTTTCTGAAGATACTAAATATAAGCTAGAAATAGGGGCTGAGACTTTAACTTGAATATACTTTTATTTAGATTGCAGCACTAACAACATGATAGACTTTCACAAATCACAAAGCACATACTATTTAAAATATTTAGCTGTTCACAATTTGAATGTAGCATTATTACTGTTTGGTACTAGGCTCAAAGACGACATTTTGATTCCTCAGCCTTGAGATGTCTGCTGACGTCAACACCACTGTCTAGTCATGCAGAGGAGAGAAACTCAAAAGCTGTTTCCTTTTCCTCGGTCAGCTCCTTTGCAGTCAGGTCCATCTTCTCACGGGAGAAGTCATTGATGGGGAGGCCTTCAACAAACTTCCAGGTCTTATTCTGTCAGAGAACAATGGCAAGAGCTTCAGCTGAAGTGACAGTGACATTTCAGCAGGGGACAGCCTAGCTTAAAATGGTAACTCAAAGCACACCTGTTTTAAAGCCTGACTCTAAACTGGAGTCCACTTTTTAAAATCATACTCAGGATGAAACCCAGCCAGGGTCTCTTGCATATTAGGGAAGAGCTCTTCCAGAGGCCTAGGACTCAAATTATTAATATACAAACTAGAAGTACTTCAATGTGGGGAGCAAGTATGCCCTGTATGAACAAATATGTATAACATGAGACCCCCATGTCACGGACACATGGGGATGGCAAAGCTTCCTTAGTCCTGGTAGTGATACTGACAGTGCAGATAGTGTCAGCCAGATCACTCACAGCTTCTCCTCTTGCATGACTGCCCCTTCAGAGACTACGTTAGTCATCTGCCTCCTGTTCAGCTCGGAGTTTCTAGGATACTGCTGGTACAACTTTATCAGAGCGCCTGTCCCACCCTGTCCCAGCTTTCTGAACATGCCTACGACTTCTTCATTCCCTCAGGTCAGTCCCAAAGTGATGAGAATCATGACACTCGAGTCTGAAATGCACTGAGTTTTCAAAGAAATCCATAGAAAGTTATAAATTAACCATGGTTATAACAAAGAATAATGCCGAGTACTATGGGTTTGTGAGAAAATAAAATTCTATTTATGGGTACAATACAGTTACTGTAATAACAAAGTATCTAGTAGTAAGAGTTAAATAGTGCTTTCAGATCAGTTTTAGTACTGAATTAAAGACTTGGCATTAGGAAGGAATATCTATGCATATATGCTATACATATCCACACATGTGTGTGTGCATTCCTCTTCCATGTCACCCCACCTTGATCACGACAGGGAACGAGTAGAGCAGGTCATCGGGGACACCATAGGAGTTGCCATCAGAGATAACGCCCATCGAAACGAACTCTCCCTGAAAAAGTTTACATTATCGTAGCTTACAGGGATTGGTTTACACAACCAACTAACAACCTACTACAATGGAAACACGACTCCCTTGACTCCCTGCATACCGACTGTGTGTGTGAGGGGCCAGTGACCACACTGGTTCACAGACATCACCTCATCAGTGTACACATCAGGTCATATGTAAAGGAGGTCACAGCTTCACATTCATTTTTTTAAAAGATTAAACAATTTTTTAATTTTTGTGTTTATATCTATCTGTGCATGCACATGTGTGTACAGGTCTCTTAGCTCTGTAGTTATAGGTGGTTGTGAGCTGCTTGACATGGATGCTTAGAACGAACTTGGCTCTTCTGCAAGAGAAGCAACCAATCTTAACTGCTGAGCCATCTCTGTGGCCCCAACACCGTCCTTGCTTCATAGTTGAGAATACAATGGCTCAATACAGGTTTAAAAAAGAATGGCTTATCATATATAACTACATTTAACTCCTAAAATCCTGTGTGATAAATATCATGGAACAGTTGACAGCACAGCTTAGAAAGGTTAAGCAACATTTGGGGGCTTCTTGGCTAGCAGGCATGTGGACTAGGAAATGAACCCAACTGGCCTAACTGCTCTTTTTACATTCTAGCATCCAAAGACAAAACTGGAAGAATGGCTGTATAAATGAGAACCCTCACCTCTGGGGTTCCAAACCAGATGTCTCTGATGTGGTCTGAGATGGCTTTTGCAGCAGACATTGCACTGGACAGCTTCCGAGCTTTGATGACGGCAGCACCACGCTGTTGCACAGTCTGGGTGGGGCACAGAGAGACAGTGTTACCTGAGCATGCCAGCACAATCCTCATCAGTTCTACATTTACCCTGCGGGGAAAGACCACTGCAAGCATGGCTTAAAGAGTTCCCTCCAACGTTAATCTTACTATCCTACTTCAGTTAGAAGCACCATTTTGTAAAGGTAGAAATTCCTATAGAACATGTGACACTAAATACAGAGAAGCAGATTTTGGTATAAACAGAAGTGGACGGGTCTGTTTTTCTGACTTGGAGAATCTCAACTGTCATAAATCAGGTCGCATCAGACAACGATAACCATCTTTTTGCACACTCCAAAAGAATATATTATAGTGAAGCAGCAGCTGTCCTGGCAGACATTCAGCTCAGCAGTGTGCTGTGCTGGTCTCTGGCTGACTGCTCAGAGGGCTCACAATCTTCTTACCGTGATGAACTCTCCCTTCAGCCAGCTGTCGTCTTTTAGGGCTTCATACACACCGACTTCCTTTCCTTGCAATTTCACCTTGGCATGATTGACATCTGGATACTGGGTTGATGAATGATTTCCCCAGATAATGACATTCTTTACATCATCAGAGGTTACACCGAGTTTAAGAGCAATCTAGTTCAATTTAAAACAAACACATCAGTGAGGCAACTGATTTTTATTCCAGATTGTGACTTGTTTGAAAGACGCCCTTAAGTAAAGGTAAAGAGCTTCTGAAACATTAAGCAAATACAAGCTACATGGACTTGAAAGGAGCAAATTCTATTGTTCAGCAATATCCTAAAACACTTAATGGTGTCAACAACTATGAACTTGAAACCTTGCAGTGTAGAGTATCTAAGAACATCCTATAATTTATGGTTAGATTATTAGCACAGTCAGTTTACCAGTGTAAAACGGTAACCAGTAGGTGAACAGATTTCTAATACATATATATGAGCCTTGTTTTGTTCCTCTCACATGGGATGCCACCTTATCATTGTGGTCAGATACTTTAGGTATATTTATCCTAATCTGGTGTTATTTTTGTTATGTGCAATACACAAATTAATTTTCAATTATAATTAGAGATGTTGTTATTAGGAGAGACTCACATTATCAAACTGTTGCTGCCCCTATTTTATAGATTTGTGGACTAAAATAAGAAGTCTTGTGATGTAACTTATGACAGAATGGTCATTTTGATAAACTTAGCAGAAACTGAAAATATTTTAAGCTGAAATGTATTTAAGACACAGATCATAATGAACTCAGCATGCTTTAAACACACTCAGAACACTTGCATTAGCCTATGGCTATACAAAATCTGCTCACATAGTCTTTCATAACAAGATATTTAACATTTATGAATATTTATACTAATATTTATACTTTGGGTAAAAACCAGAGTGTAGTAAGGACTTAAGAACTCTTGACCTCTTGAATATCAGCTTTAACTCCTCAAAAATAGTGAAGATGACTGCCTAGGTCTCTAGGTCTGCTCACTGCAGGCTCCTTAGCTTCCTCTCCTTTGTTTATGTCACCTATGGTCTCTTATTCCTTTGATCTCTTGCGCTAACAAAGCACAGGTATTCTGTGCCTAGCAGATGCTGCTTCTGATTGTAAGTCATGTCAGAATCAGGGTGAAGTTAATACATATAAAGGGTAACATTTCTTGCTTCCTTAGGCAAACTTTCAAGTTTGTCAAACAGATCTATTAAATTTTTGACTAATTCTCCAGCCCTAATTTCCCCTCCCTACCAGCAGTAGCTCTGTCAGACCATCTTGTATGTACATATATCTTATGCATGCATACATCTAGCATTGGGTTTCACATACAGAGTTCAGTAGGTGATAAAGCAGTCACTGGTAACTAAAGTTTTTAAATTTTTGAACAAATCATGGAGGACTTGTCATGATTCCTGTAAGAAAATTTTATTTTGGGTTTAATTACTTCTCATTTGGGTAACAACTTCTATAAGAGGAAGAACTGCTTCTTCAAAAACTCTTGACAGCTCTTACTCTGCCAGATTGACATACTGAAATACTGAGACTGCCTAGCCAAGCCTGTGAGGAACAGACTGTGCACCAGGAAAACTTCGCTCTTGGTTCATTCATGACTTTTGCCCCCACAAGGGAAACAACTTTCAATTTCAAGCATTAGGACAAAGTGCCACTTTGTGAGATTTGGGAAGCAGAACTGTCCAACTGCTACTGCTACCAAGGCTTCAAGAAGATCATGGAGCAGTTTGCCAGTGTCATCTCATCAGCCCACACCCACAACTGCAGTCAAGTTCTCTGCGCCTACACTGCCCTCAGGCCTAGCCTGGCTCCCAGTCAAATCCCTCCCTTTCCAGCCACCATGTGACTACTACTACCTGTAGCCCAAAGCATCTCACAGATTATCTAATAACTGTGTAAGTTAACTGGAGTGTTGAAGAAGATATTTACAGTATGGCTCTTTCAACTTTAGGCTATATCTCTCTTAATAATAAAAACAGTGATAATAGCAGCGAATCTTTCCTATGTTTTATTATGTAATAGCACCATGCTAAGAGCTAGTAAAATGTATTTAGCTTACTTGCTACTACTGTATAGGACACACAGAAGGGTTTAGTTTATATTCTGTGAATCTAGTAGGTTCCAGCATTAGTACTTTATGACTTTAGGCAGGTTCCCTGATCACTTAAAGTCTCATGTTTCTTATCTGTAAAACAAGCACAATAAATACCTCATCCAGTCACCATGAGAATTAAAACCCATATAAAGCACCAAATTTGAGGGAAACTTAACAGACGTAAATTATTTTCTCTCTTATTGGATATTCCAGAACTGAAAGAATCAACTCTCAGTGTAAGGCAGTGTTTTTTTTTTTTTTTTAAACTTTAAACACATATCTTTTTCTGCTTAAGGAATTGTTTTCGTAAAGCTCACATGATAAATAGTACAAGTCCACAGAACTATACAGAAGCAATGACCTGTGGCTGAAGCAGAGTGGACAAAACAGTGCTAGAGAGAAGGGAAGAGCGCTGTCCTCCAGAACGCCGACTTCATCTGACTTAAGGACAGAGAGCTACAGAAGCTAGCCTGGATGAGTAGCTTGGCTCCCAACAGCGTGAAAAGCTACTGCTAATCTCTGAGCCACTGGGTCCTTTGACATCTAAATCTAAGCCTCCAAGAAATAAGGATTTATATGACTTTAATAATTACACAAAACATTTTAAAAGATTAAAACTGAACATTAAAAACAAAATTTGCTGCAGAGAAAAATGAAGTATAAACATACACCACTCAAGTCTTTTGTTTTTGTTCTACAACCTATGATGTGATTAAGCTAGATTATATGTCGTGTGTTATTTCATTTGTAACTAACTTTTAACTACTAAAGCAAGACAACATTGGCAACTGTACTGAGTTATAATTGGATATATATATTACAATTGTTTCACAATTGGTTAGTTGAAGATAAAACTAAGGAGGAAGGCCAGCTCCTTAACTCCTAAAAAAGTTAAGATCCCCTCCCCCCCTTTTTTGTTGGTTTCAACAAAACCAACAAATGCACAAACCAAAATTTAATTATTTTAAAAGTAAAAGAAAAAAGTTTCAAAGCTGAAATTTTTAAAATTTAAAAGTCGTTTATCTTACTTGAGACTTCGCTCGGTTGTGGTCCAAGCGAGTCAGGCAACTGAAGTTCTCCTTGGGGATGGACGGCGCCGACTTGGAGGCTGTCAGGCAGTTTGTATTGGCTGGGTTTCCCACAACAATGACCTAGGTGGGTGGGAGGCACAGAGCACACATTGACACCGGTCATACAACTGGACTAAAACACTCCTCACAGGGCCTCTGTATCAGGTTCCTATGATACAAGTCAGTTTCCAGCTGGCAATATCTAGGACCTAAGGGGGACACGTCTTTATATTTTACTATGGGGACAGATCATCTATTTGTGACACACACACACATGCATGCACACAAGCAAGAAATCTAAAGCTTCATCTTGGAGTTAAGTCATTGATAAAAGTTTCCTGTTTTAGGAAACCAACTTGTTTTTGTGAATTAAGTGTTTCTAAAACTGAATCCTAAGAATTACCTAGGCTATTTGGTAAAATACAGATTATCTTCACAACTCCTCTACATCTAGTCAATCAAACATATATACATACATCTTTTTTTGCCTCTGAGTATCCCAGTCTGTGAGTATTTTCCTCAGCAAAAGCCTCCCCCTCCACCCCTTTTTTGCAGAGGTAGAATTACCAAGTAAATAGAACCACAAGACCAGGCAGTCTGAATTTTACGTCTGAGTACCTCTGTAATCTTTTACCAAGAGACCTGTGTGTTCCTATTCATTCTTGTTCCTTGTTAATGATTACAGAGAAAACTATTCAAAATGAAATCTATAGTAAGCAAAAATATAGGCAACAATGAAGTATTATAAACAGGTCACTTGTGAAGAATGGCTTTGGGACATTGCGACAAACTTGGAATGAATATAAATAGCTACAGAAACAGAAGAGGAAGTCATGAGACGGCTGTAACAATTCCATGAACACGCAGAGGTGCATCTGCAGTGACTGACAACAAGCACTCAGCAGCCACCTTCCAGAACACAGATGACTCTGAAGGTCTCCACAAGTACCCAGAGCAAGCAGCACAAGAACGGTGTCTTCTTCCCTCCATGTCTGTCCGTGCTCGCTGACCTTTGTATAGAACCAGAAACTAATACAAGCAGTTCTGGTGTTTAAACATCAAAAGCAGAAGTTTGAAATACAAGTAAGAAACCAACCTCATAAAATATGCTATGAGTTACCTTAACTGATTTCTTGGCGTATTTCTCCAAGGCTGCACCCTGGGATTTGAAGATTTTCACATTGGCTTTCAGTAGGTCCTTCCTCTCCATGCCTTCTCTTCTTGGCATGGAGCCCACAAGGACAGCCACATCCAGGTCTTTGAAGGCAATCTCTTCTTTGTCTGTTGCAATGACATCTGTGGACATGGCAAACAACACATAGAGCTACTTAAATGCCCAAGTTGAAGTTTCCCCTTTCATACTGAATCTCCTTATTCTTTCGAACTGCTAAAAGTTTACTTTCATAGTTTACATTAATGCACTTTTCAGAGGCCTAAAAAAAAAAGATAATACACTTGCCTAATGACCCCTAAGAACATAGCAGAAAGTCAGTAATTATTTTGTGTATATATATATATATATATATATACACAAAAAAATATATATATATGTGGTTACATATATAGTAAACCACCAATAATTCAAAAGAAAAACTGACTCACCTAACCTTAAGATTGTAATTACTCCAAGGTTTAAGATACAATCACAAACTGAAAAAATAGTGTTTACCAGGGCATATTCTAATAGGGATAATGCTAAGGACTGTATTCTATCAAATGTAATCTTCATATTTCACAGATGAAGAAACTAAGGCATAAGTAAATTAGTGCCACTATGATAAGATAGGGAGGTTGGTCCAGAGTTCAACTAGAATTCAGTGTCAATCTGATAAACATATAACTTGTTTTTTGATCAAGGAACATGCAAATTGTTTTCCTTTGAGTGTATGATAAAGGCCATAGCTGAGAGTCAGCATTTCCATCTGTAAAGTGTTAGGCTAGTAAACTCATGTCAGACAGGTTGCTGAGACCCCAAACGGAGGAACGAAAGAAAAAAAAAAGTATCTATCTTCCTTTCCTGTCGAGCCTTCCCTTCCCTGTCGCATTTATAGCAGTCTGAGGGACCATTGGGCCATTAGTGACAGAAGGACTCAGCATAAAAATGAATGTAAATAGAAAATGCAACAGAGGGGCTGACTTGGAAAGGGCTGTAAGGAAAAGAAGCCACAGAAAGGCTGGCACAGACAGGTGCGTAGACTCTAAAGTTTGGAGCCACCCAACAAATGATCTGGAGAATCACTCTTCTAGGAACTGCTTGACTAGACACAGAGTTCATGTTTTCCCTTAAGCTGGGCAGTTTAAGGACACTTTATCCATCTCAAACCAGTGCTTGGCAAATGAAAGGGGAAATACACAAGGAACCAACTAACACCCAGAGCAGCGCGCAGCCTGCAGAACATCCTTTGGAATGGAAAATTTTCTGTTACTATTACTTCTAAATAGACTTCAAATAGCAGCACAATGCAAACAACCTGGATATAAAATCCTTGAGCATATTATATTTAATGAGTATTATAAATTATATGTAGTCATGAGGGAAAACAAGCCTGACTTGCCACTGATTGCTTCTTGCTTTTATACTTATTTTTTCTTGGTATTTGTGTTTTTAAAAAGTAATGTAGTTTAAACAACAACAACAAAACACTTTTGTGAAACAATTTCTAGCTGACAATATCTTTAATAAAAATCTTAAAAAAAAAATCCACCTTTGGTTAAGATACGAAGTGCTATATCATCTGTTTTCTTTGATTTTCCAACTCACCCTGCAGAAGGGGAAGGGCACAGTCTTGCAGTTCCATCAGGACACCGTCCAGAACACCCATCATGGGGGTGATGTCCAACAGCACAAGAATGATGGGCTGCCAAAGAGCAAGGACAGCGGGCGGTGTGGTTACGGCGGAGGTTGGTGCAGTTACAGCATTCTCTCTCACACCAAGTCCCACCCTGTTTTTGTTTATATATATTTAGTTCCCAGTAATTATGGAAGGGAGATGCTATAGCTTGCTTAGTAGCTGCAGAAATGATTTCTTTTTATAAATAGCTAACTATAGACAACTATGATATCTGACATGAAGGGAAAATTCAATTATCTGTAGGTCGAGAGAAAAAATTAAAAAGACTTTAAGAAAGGATTTTAGTTTACGTATCAGACTTGTTGGAATTAGGGGTGCCTGTTTCCTGAGGTGTAAATTTCACATCTGATTATTTAGGCTCAAAACACGATGATTAGAAAGGAAGGACAGATTCTACAACTTTCTTGCAGGCCCCTCCTCAGGAGTTACTCTCAGCAGTGAGTGACACATTGAATGTTGCCTGCTGGTCAGTCACACTAAGCTACAGAAATACACCAGGTGGAAGAGCTCCGATTCCAGGTGATTTTCAGTGCTCACAGGGTAGCCTATAACCATCTTACTAGTGTCTAACTTATAGCAAAGGACTCATTACATTTCTGGGGCTGTCTATTCCTTCACCATTGCAGCTAAACACAGAACCTTATTAAGAACATTTTTCTACTATAGTGCCAAGGTTTACTTACAGACATGCCCCTACCTGGTCTTTCCCAAAGACAGATCCATTTCCAATACTGTACAATAGTGAATATGCAATCTGACCGGCTGCTCCAGTCACAAGGACTCTGATTGGTTCAGACTGTAATGAAAAAGACCCACAGTTTATTAACGTGTTACCTTAATAAGGCAATGCGTGCTTTAAAAGTGAACATGACACCATAAAGTCCCTTCTTGACTCACTCAGAAAATGAACAGGCTTGTTTTTAGTAAAGACAGCATGTACAAATGAACTAAGCAACTTATGAAATGTGTCCTTTGGCGGCATGCTTATGAAGCGTTCTTTAACTCTTACTCAACGGGAGCAGAACTAAAAAGTGCAGAACTGGATTTACGCATGTAACCATGTCCATCTTTGGGGGACATTTTGTCAAAAAAGTAGGCCACAATGTCTTACCTATTTTATGTGGTGATATAAAGCTGGTAGGCTGGAAGAGCCTTGGCGATCCCTATCATGCAAATCCCTGACCCACCTCCTCACTAGTCCCCAACACCAGGCAGAGGAGTAGCAGTGACTAACATTTTCCCTTTACTGTTAGCCAAAAAAGTTGAATAAAACAAACCTGCTTTGAGTTAACTGCCCAAGAGCAAAAACAATCCTGCACTTAAACTCAGAGATCCACCTGCCTCTGCCCACTGAGTGCCTACATTGAAGGTGTACATTGCTATCCTCAGGGTTAAGCCTTTATTTTTAAAAAAGATTTATTTATTTATCTTATGTATGGGAGTACACTGTCGCTGTCTTCAGACACACCAGAAGAGAGCATCAGATCCCATTTTATATGGTCATGAGTCACCATGTGGTTGCTAGGAATTGAACTCAGGTCCTCTGGAAGAGCAGTCAGTGCTCTTAACCGCTGAGCCATCTCTCCAGCTTCAAGCCTTTATTTTTAAAATTGTATTTATTTAAGGTGTATGGTGTGGGGCATGTGACACGGCTTGCTGCAACGTATGGGAGTTGTTTTTTCTTCCATTCTGTGGGTCTTAGGGATTGAATTCACGCTGTCAGACTTGGCAGCAAGCTCCTTTTACCCACCGAGCCACCTTGCTGTCCAAGTCTTTAGGTGTTTTTTTAAGGAGAAAAAAAAGTGAGAAAATGATTAATTCTGAAATATAATAAATTTTAGTATTGGATATCATACTAAATCACAATGGCAATAGCTGACAGTCTTATTCCTAGGGAAAATTTATTTTTTAAGAAGGAAGAGAAACTACAGGGGGAAAAAATACAATAGTTATATAACAGAAAGAAGCAGCTGTACAGGCTAAGAGACTAAATTAAATAAGATACATAGATAAAAATAACAACTGTATTCAAGCTGAGCACTGAGTAATGGAAAAAAATTAAACTAAACCCAGAGAATTAAAAAAAAAAAAAAAGAACTAAGATAAATTGTTCCCTTCTTTGACAGTGCTGAGAACTGGCAGGACTCGGGGCTACCCCAGTCCCTCTTTGCGTGAAGAAATGGTCCAGTAAATGAACTGAGGTAGAAATATTTGATTTCTTTTTATTTATAACCACCTCTCCTAGTGACTCATTCCTCTGAGATGGAAAGACAGACAGCCTGGAACTGACAGTATCCAGAAGCACGGTGCCCAGAGGTTGAAACAGAAAATTCACTAAATAAGTATTGTTATAAAATCTGATCATAGCAGATTTTACTTGGATTTCTTCCTCAAAAACATAACCAGGATAGTAGAAAAATATAACCAAAAGCTAAAACCTCAGAACTCTATGGAGAAATTCCTCTTGATTCCTGGATTTCTCTCCTGTTTTTCTTTATCTCTAGATACATCAAATTTAATACCTAAATAAGCCAACTTTAGTAAAATCTATATTAATATGAACATAATAAAACATGTATCTATGTCCAAAATAAACTATATGTATGAATATAACACACTATTCTACATGGTTATTTTCTGCTGTACATAGCTGTATAAGACATATGTTCTGAGATATCATCAGGAACAGATCAATCTTTAATCCTGTATATGTATTTCATTTTGTCAGCTTTCCTTTTGAAGTTAAGTGAGAAGGGAGAGGCTGTTCCCCTCTTCTCTGGGCTTTGCCTGTTTCACTATCTTCTAGATTCTAGTCACTGTTACATCCCACCAGATAGATAAAAAGAGGTGCACAGCTGGAACTCAAATACTTGCTTAAGAAATAGCTGCTTCCATAAAGACTGAAATGTACACAACTGGAAGCAAATTGAATGTGCTTTTTAAAAGTGAAGGTGTTTAGCCAGGTAGTGGTGGTACAGACCTTTAATACCAGCAGTTACATATTTACACATCTGTCACTCAAGCTGGAGTGTAATGTTTTCAGAGCAATTTTCCTTTGACT